ATAGTGTTGAGAAGACCTAGACCACACCCTAACAACTTTAGTATGAAAATGTGCTAGGCATGTTAAATAAAGATATTGACATTAATGTTGAAAAAATTAGTGACTAAAAGCATTTTAATTATGTTGAAGATTATATGTCAGTAAATATGTATCTGTGCCATCTAATTTGATAAATTTTAGTGTATAAAATGATTACATGTACCACAGTAATTATGACTAGCTCTAGTTTTCCGACAATAAATTGATTAACTTAACATGATTTGGTGATGAACTGATTATGATTAAATCCAAAATAAATTTAATTTCAAATTACATATCTTCCTAGGTTGCAATTCATTTTATAAAGACCAACCAGACAATGATGAAATTACAAATTTTGAAATTTAATATATGATACAACATACACTGTTACAGGACAGATATTACATCTGTTACCATTTCTATCATGCACCAATGACTTGTTACTCAGATAATTCCATACAAAGTTTCAAAGTGAACATGATCTTTGAAGTGGTCTCAATAAAACACCTTCCAACCTGATTTTTGAACATTGCAGGTCCTCGGGGCCTCTTGTTTAAATGCACTCCACCTTTGTACACCAAAAGAAACAAACCTTAATACGCCTCTAAGTTTCAAGTGGAACGGGTCAAAATCTACACTCGCCTCCAAGTTTTAAGTGGAAAGGGTCGAAATCTTCAATCGCTTCTCAGTTTTAAATGGAAATGGTCAAAATCTTAACACGCCTCTCAGTTTTAAATGGAAAGGATCAAAATCTTAACACGCCTCTAAGTTTCAAATTGAAAATGTAAACATCTTAATACGCCTCTCAGTGTCAAATGGAAAGTGTAAAAAGCTAACCACGCCTCTCAGTGTCAAATGGAAAGGGTTAAAAACTTAACACACCTTTTTTTTCAAGTGAAAAGGGTCAAGCTCTTCACCCGCCTCTTAGTTTCGTTTATGATTTGTTTTGAAATATACAAGGTATTCGCTAAAATAGCGTTTATTTTAAGCGTATCTTTGTAATCAAGCTAATGCCAAGATTTGCCGGATGTGTGATTTTGAGCATTAAAAAAACTCTGTATAGGAAAACAAACGTCAGGTGTCTTGAAAACGAAATAATAAACATATTGTGTCCTTCTATTCCGTTCATAAAACACTGTTAAACACAACAGCCTCCTGTAATTGTATGGACGTTTTCTTGGCAGATTCTTGAACGTAGTACATCAACAGGCATGTTCCAACAAAAATATGTTCATCTGGGTCAACGAAACACTCAGCATTCAATCTAAAAATCTTTAATTTTTTTAATGGAAGAGTAGGAACGCTTCGTACCCTTCGATAAATGCGACATTTTTCTCATTAATTTAATCCCAACCATTACATAAGTATTTTCACAAAATGATTTTCATTCCGTTTATAATTTTGAAGGAATCCAACTAGAAACATTGCAAATCAGAGTTAAAGAATATGTAAGATAAAAAAGAGAGACTGAAAGACTAATGTTGAAAAAGTTCGTATCATCAATTCATATTTTTTTTCTGCCCTGCAGGTAGGGCGTAAGAATTGTACCTGCTGCCCCCAATTGCATGATCGTAAGAGGCGACTAAATTTGGGACCTTATCTCTTCTCTCCTTTCTAAATAACTTTCTTCTTCCTAATGTCTCCCTTGACAATGCCTCACTTTTGGCCATTTGTTGAGCGTTCGCCCCTGTGAGGAAGGCTTTGGGTTCTGTCCCCTGGCCGAGACATACCAAAGTCTTTAAAAATGGTAGTTTCTACTCCTGCTTAACGCTCAGCAAATTAGGAGTGGGACGACTGGTTCGCCCGTTGTCAGTATAATGTGACCGGGTGGGGCGTCCTGCTGGGTGTCTTCGGCAGTATGTTTCAGTGAGGTAGCACTATAAAGTCGGCATCAGTTCCGCGCTATCACAAGGAGACAAACACGAACATATCGCAGCCTCCCAAAATACACACACATACACTACACGCATGCATCTTGCACACAGGGGAGGCCGTCCTTAAATGACCTTAGCTGTTAATAGGACGTTAAACAAAATCAAACAAACAAACAAAATATTAAAGTTTTGACCATATCAGGATATCTAAAATCATTTAAGAGAAAGTGGTAGTTTTCCACAATTTCTAGGTAGTCCTCAGTGGAGCCCCTGACATGTTTTGTCTCCAAACTGTGTCAAGGATTTATCTATGTATCCATGGAAACAAGATAGCTATGATTACATAAATAGCGATGTATATGGATTGTTTTCCAGAACACCTTTCTGACATTAATGTCATGTACAAGCAGGTGGTATACCAAACCTGTCGAAACCTCCATCAAAACTACATGTGTATGTAACATCTTCTTATGAACTTATTTCTGCTGGAGACTCTCAGTCCCCCAGGTTGTCTCTGACCTTTAAGCAGGATCATAATCCGGTATTTTTTTCTTTTGTTGCTCTGCTTTCCTTTGACTCTAAGACCTTAATCCAGGCCAACAACTGTGATTAATTAAAGTAGGAATGACTTGTTTTAAATTGTTGTAATAAAAATAAAGTTAATATTTTATACTGTAAATAACGAAACACATTTGTGTACCGTTGCAAAGATAAATCTCTTGATCTGCAAAGCTGCGTCGTTTTTTTATGAAGCGACTTTTGGAAATGCTAGACTCTAGACCTACATGTAGCACCTTATATGGAATGCACTGTTCATAACTAAACAACGGTTGGAAATCTGTAGAACAATTATCTGATATGTAACGCATTGTTTATAACCAGTCAAGGGTATGGAACATGAAACAGTTGAACAAGTATCTGATATGTAACGCATTGTTTATAACCAGTCAAGGGTATGGAACATGAAACAGTTGAACAAGTATCTGATATGTAACGCATTGTTTATAACCAGTCAAGGGTATGAAACATGAAACAGTTGAACAAGTATCTGATATGTAACGCATTGTTTATAACCAGTCAAGGGTATGAAACATGAAACAGTTGAACAAGTATCTGATATTTAACGCATTGTTTATAGCAAGTCAAGGGTATGAAACATGAAACAGTTGAACAAGTATCTGATATGTAACGTATTGTTTATAACCAGTGAAGGGTATGAAACATGAAACAGTTGAACAAGTATCTGATATGTAACGCAGTGTTTATAACCAGTCAAGGGTATGGAACATGAAACAGTTGAACAAGTATCTGATATGTAACGTATTGTTTATAACCAGTAAAGGGTATGAAACATGAAACAGTTGAACAAGAATCTGATATGTAACGCATTGTGTATAGCAAGTCAAGGGTATGAAACATGAAACAGTTGTACAAGTATCTGATATGTAACGCATTGTGTATAGCCAGTCAAGGGTATGAAACATGAAACAGCTGAACAAGTATCTGATATGTAACGCATATTTTATAACCAGTCAATGGTATGAAACATGAAACAGCTGAACAAGTATCTGATATGTAACGTATTGTTTATAACCAGTCAAGGGTATGAAACATGAAACAGTTGAACAAGTATCTGATATGTAACGCATTGTTTATAGCAAGTCAAGGGTTGTCAATATTAAACTATACGACAGGCTTCTGACATTTAACGCCATGTTTACAACGAGACGATGGTTTAAGCAGTTTAACTGTAAAACAAACGTCTGAGGTGTAACGCGTTGTTCATTACCAGTCGGGTTCAGACATGTTAAAATGTAGAGGAAGCTTCTGATATCTAACGGGTTGTTTATAACAAATCGAGGGTTTGAAATGTTTTAAAATACACGTAGAGTAAACTTTCGATAATCATTACACATCTTAAAAGCAGTAGAGTATTTTAAATGTTAAACTTTGGATCAAGCTTTGATATGTAACTTGATTAGTTTCTAACCAGTCGAGAAATGATAAAGTGCAGAACAAGTGCACGATATTTAGCGCGTTGTTCATAACGAAGCGATGATTGAAAAGTTAAGCTGTGGAACAATCATCTGGAATGGTACTCGCTCATTACCAATCCAATCGTTGTTCTTGAAACGTTATGCAAAAGAGTAAGCTATTGATACTTCACGTATTCTTTATACTGTAGAACAATCTTCTCATATATATCGCAGTATTCATGACCATGCAAGGCTTTAAAACATTATACTGTGGAAAAAGCTTCTGATATGTAACGCGCTGTTTATATCCATTCAATGCTTTAAAAGTTATACTGCCGAAAAAGCATCTGATATGTAACGCGCTGTTTATATCCATTCAATGCTTTAAAACGTTATACTGTGGAAAAAGCTTCTTATATGTAACGCGCTGTTTATATCCATTCAATGCTTTAAAACGTTATACTGCGGAAAAAGCATCTTATATGTAACGCGCTAATTATAATCAATCGAGAATCTAAAAGATAATACTGTAGAAAAATATTCTCCTATGTAACGCGTTGTTTATAGCCATGCAATGCTTTAAAACGTTATACTGTGGAACAAGTTTCTGAAATGTAACGTGCTGTTTATAAGCAATCGAGAATTGGAAATATTAAACTGTAACTTATAGTTCATAGCCGTTCAAGGGTTTGAAACATTACACTGTGCAACACATCTCTGATATGACATCCTTTGAATCGAAGTGTTCCACTTTTGATACTGTATCCCTAAAATGTAATAAAATACAAAGGCTCTTGAAGCGACACCTTGCAGATAATACAAATACACCAGCCTGACGTCCTTTAGGAAAAAACAGGAAATGGCACGGCATCGGGACGATAACATCGGGTGTAGCTCCTATATAGTCTTCAACGAACAATTATCAACCTAGATATTTTCAGTTTCCTGAGGCGATGAAATAGCCACTGCGACAAATTCTAGGGGTAAGAGACGATATGTATATTTTTACTAACGTGATATCATCTTTCCTACTGTTTGTGCAGAAATGGCAGGCTTCTCTGTGATCTTTCGTTAAAACGAACCAAAACAGTATGGAAACAAGAGGCTAAGTATGATATTTGATACCTACCTGCGGTACAATTAGGACCGGTGAATTCCGCGGGACAGTAACACGACACAGACATCCCTAACCTCATGCACGTGCCGCCATTCTGACAGGGGTTCGGTAGACAAGGATCTGGACACAAAAAAACAAAGGACATACAGTAAAATAGGAGTTACATAGTGCGATTCAACAAGTCATCAAAGCCTATAAAATATTTTTAAAGTAAAATGGTTAAAATCACAGTTTGGAATACCATAAACAAGACATGTTGAGAAGTTACCTGACAAATCTTCATTAATAACTAGAAATATCTTTACCACTAGGGAATTCCATTTTATTGTTTGGTAAAAACAGCCCTATTCCTTCCATTTCATTTTGAATGCAGTGGTAACGCGACAGGGCCATGGACAAGGTAGATGATCTCAGGTCCAGGGTTCAAATCCTAATTCAACTCCCTTGTATTTTACGCTTAGATCACTGTTTCTGGGGCCGCGGTGGCCGGGTGGTTAAGGCGTCTGACATTCTGCTACCACTAGCCCTCCAACGCTGGGTCGCGGGTTCGAGACCTACATGGGACAGTTGCCAGATAATGGCTGCTGGTCGTTGGATTTTCTCCGGGAACTCCGGCCTTTCTCCACCACCAAAACCTAGCACGTCCTTAAATGACCATAGCAGTTAATAGGACGTAAAACACAAACAATCCAAACCAAGATCATCTATAGTGGTAGGACGCCGGGCTCGTGATCAATATTTTCAAAAAAACGACAACAAAAAACAACAGTGAAGCTATAAAGGCCCTTTGGCCTTTTGTTTTGAAAATAAAATAAAGATTTATATGAGGCGTTTATCTGAATTGGTTGAGCTGATTTGGTACCTATTTCACAATATCGTATATTCTTTTCTATGTTTCTGATTTGTAGTATACGTATTTAGCTGGGTGAAAAACACGGAGTATAGAAAGGGCGATAACTCTACCTCAGATAGCTTGTCTTGTTAGTAATATTATTTTCCCTCGTTTCGGAGAATAGCGGGAAATATTTGTCCTGTATACACGGAGTATATGTGGGCAGTTGCCTGTCTCGTGCAGAGGTTTTGGCTAATCAGATTGAGGCACATGCTAAGGGTAGTTTACGGGTACGTGTATGTTCATTCTAGCTTCGCACCTCGCACGGCACAGTACAGTTTGGAATAAATTTGTAGCAGAATGTATGTGTGGGTATCGTCATTTGTTAGAAATCCCAGCATCAATTTTGTGAATAAAACTGTGTCGGGCTGGTACACCTCCTGTCGCGCCTAATAAGGTTTTCAGGTTTTGGGGCGCGCTTGGTTTTACATTTGTAGGGCGATGAACTATGCGAGGGTGTATGTGGGAGGATTGTTTGTGTGTCAGAGTAGTTTTTGTAAATGCATATTTATTATATTCCTATTATATTATGAATAAATGCCGACTCCGTACGTGCTATTGTGCGAGCAGCTATTTGCTATTTAGGTGGTGTATTATGTTTGCCTTGTTACGGATAAGGAGTATATAGAGGACCTAGACTTCACTAGTGCTGATGATATCATTGGAAGCATGTAATATCAACGTTTTACTATTTACGCAAACAATGTACGTATTAAACGTGTCCCTTGACAAAGGGACCAGTCGGTCTTGAAACGTTGCGACACGTTTAATACGTACATTGTTTGCGTATATAGTCAAACTTGAATATTTTACGAATGCTGGCTCACATTAGTAGAACAGATGGTTTTCCCAACTAAAAACTGTCCACAAAACGATATATAGATAGTGGCAGTCGATTATTTTCTCATGAGTTGTACTGACAAAAATGCAACAACAAACAAGGACCGTAAGTCCTTGGATGAGGCTTGAAAGCTGGTTAAAGGTGTCATGAAAAACTACAAGGTCATAATCAGGATCAAGAGAACCGGAAGAAGGAGATTTTCTTTGAGGCAAGCTAGGGAGACTCAACAAGAACTGTCAATCTAATAATCAGTAAGAAGGCTTAGCCGACAGATTATCACAGGAAAACGTAAGTTATCTCCGGGTACGGTACTCCGATTTCCTCCCACATTAAGAACACCCGCTCGCTGGTATCTGTGCCAACAAGAGTGATTAATATGAGTTGAAATAACTTGTTTCATAAAAACTTTCTCTTGTCTACAGTCTTAAGTAGCTTTTCATTTTTTGCATTTCTACGAATCCTTGCTTGTATATGTTTGTGTTTGTAAGAGTGGGTGTGAGTTAGGGCGATTGTGTACGGATGGCGGGTGTAGAGCAGAAAGATAATGTGTTAATGTAAAACTACACAGGTGTTTAATGTTGTGATGCAACTGAAAAAAATGTTGCATGTACTTTGATTTTATATAAATTCTATTCATCACACCTTGATGAATGTTATCGTTATAATGATAATGACTGATACATTATATTGGCTGATGAGGAATTATTGATCGATTGGTTGGATGATGATGATGATGATGATGATGATGATGATGATGCTGACATGATGATGATGATGATGATGATGATGATGGAGGTAATGACATCACAATTTATGTGATTGGGGGGGCGTTTTTTTTTTTTTTTTATGTATCGAAAAAACTTTTGGAACCCCCCCCCCCCCAAAAAAAAACCCCACTTCATTTTATTTTATTTTTTATTATTCAAGGATTAACTTTCTATTTGGTTTAGGTTATCGGCATCCTTGATACCCAGGAGTTATGCTCACTTTCGCTCTCTACACCACTGAGATATGTCATAGCAAAATCGAAGGCTCAGTGTGCACCTTGACTAGTTTGATCATTTGATGTACATAAAAGAATCTCGCGGTTGCGTAACGGTAAAACCTTTTGGCTTTGAAATCGGGCAACGCTCCTCTGTAATGTTCAAAGGCCTAGACAGAGAGTCAACTAACGCTTAGTGTTCTAAGGGCAATAACTCTAATAGCTACTTGGGGAAAAATAACGAACAATTGTACCGTCGAAAAGATTGAAAACTTGAAAAGATTGGAGGATACGAGTCGTTTAAAATATCCTTACGTTATTTTACCTGTTTATGTCATTTAAAAAAACCTAACAGTTTATGCATATATTTTTTCTTTCTTAGTTCCTGATCATCAAATTCTGTACCTTACATGGTCTTCCCAAAATATCAACGTTCTGATACGTTTTGATGACACCTTTAGACAATTCAGAGACATGATGACGACGGTTTGTCTAAAAGCTGACTGTGAATGTTCTCTAACCGTTCTAGTGGTACGGATGGTCGTATGTTTTTAGGGACAATTGTTAAAGCATTGTTGATAATAGAAACACGGGAATGTGATTTTGTAAAAAACGGCAAGTTGTATAATAGTATGTCTGACATTCAAACGCAGTTGAGAAAGGCCAATGTTGAAGGAACAGGAACGGGATTTCTTGTATTTATCATGAGACTATAGCAATATTAAGGAACAGCACACTTAATCGAGGACACGCAAGAGCCCGGGGCTATGTTTTTGTAATATATTCATCAAAGGGAAATTTCAGCCGTACAAGTCCTGAAAACTCGCTCATGCATATGTTATTGATAGATAAAACACTCTTTTTTTTTTTTTTTCTTCTTCAGTTGACTAAAATCGATTTATTCTTTGAAACAATGCCGCTATGTTAACTTGAAATGAAGGATCCATAGGGAGGTACGTGTATGACCCCTCAGATATATGGACCGGCTCCATTGAACACGAACATATCGCAGCCTCCCAAAATACACACACATACACTACACGCATGCATCTTGCACACAGGGGAGGCCGTCCTTAAATGACCTTAGCTGTTAATAGGACGTTAAACAAAATCAAACAAACAAACAAACCATTGAACATAAAATTACAATTGTTAAGATATTTTTTATCAATTTTATCAATGTTATCTTCTGTTTTTAAAATCAACTATGAAATGCACTCGTTTTAAAAATATAACATCAAGCCTTCTTTAAATAAATAAAGAGCGTATTTTTATTTTTTTCAGAGATAGTGATCCAGGATTGTTTTGTTATTTAACATCAACTACGATTCATTAAGAATCCAAACGAAATCTTGTGCAATGCTTCCACGCTATTTATATCTGGGTGGCCGGGTGGTGCAGTGGAAAGTGTACTCGCCTTTCATCAAGGCAGTCGGAGGTCGACTTCACGATCGGACGTAAAAAGGTAAGTGATCACATTCTTGATCACATGGGGTTTCTCCGGGTTTTCTAGCACATTAAGACCCACAGCGCGCTACCATCCGGGCCAACAAGAGTGATAAATATAAGTTGGTAGAACGTGTTTCGCAATTGTTGTTAAGTAAATAAAGATTATTATTGAGAATATACATCAACAGCTGGACCGTGCATGTCCAGTTAGACATACCATTGCTATAAACCCAATTTAAGATGTTTCTCTTTGTTATTGATCCAATTTTAAACTCGTCATTTTATGTTTTCAAATATCTGTGAACGTTTAGAATAATAAGAAGAAGATGTATGTCAATTTGTTCGATTGATAATCTTGTCATGGCTGTTGCATCAACCTCCCATGAAAACTTCACATTTTCCCCGCTAAGACGCTGTTGGCTCAACTGCACTGCCACCCCTTTTGTATCGCTTTGTAAGCAACCAAAATACTGCTACCGTGACATTATGCCTGGACAAAATAGAATCTTACCTAATTCCTGATCACAAATCGCTCCTGTGAACTGGTTAGTACATAGACAGGTTATCTGTCCGGCATTCAGGGAGCACGTGGCGCCGTTCTTACAGGGAGAAGACATAGAACACAGGAAGTCAAAATCTGAAATAGCCAAAACACATACATGTACTGTAAATATGATTAGACATCCTTACTCTGAACAAATGCTGTTCATTTCCGCTAAAGTAAATAAATGTAACACAAACAGTTCATTGCACATTTCAAATTTTGGAAATAGTATGTCAAAAATGTATTGCACAGCATCATACAGCTGTGTCGAGCTAATATGGGAATTCCATTCTCACATTTTTTGTATGTTTCAATAGTATTTGTTATCTTTTAAGCTACATATAAACTGTATAAAAATGTATTCATCAACATGCTCTATATGTTTTCGAATATTCATAGGGACAGTGCTTTATTAAATCCTGAACACCTGCGTTTTTCGGTATCCTGGCTCCTAGGTTAAACGAATTGAAGTAATTGATGATGAATCCTGAAAATCCATTATAAAAATATTCCGCTAAGATAATTTACCACCAATGCTTGTTGGTTAATTGTAAAATACTTGGAGAAATCTCTGTGTAAAATATCTCAAGAACACATCATGTATAAATCATGGAAATACCTATATTCATTGTACAAACAGATACAATGTAACATTCGTATATTTTCTAAATAATAAAACGAAAACAAGTGACATCAATACTTCTATGAAAAGTAAATAAAAGACACTTTTAGACACACAAACGACATAAATAGCTGTGGGTGCAGTTTCTAAATAACTGTCTGCTGGATAACCGAACTACTCGGTAGTGAAGTGGACGTAAAACCAATCAATCAATCAATCAATCATATCTAATTTAAAACGCACCTACAAGCAAATAACATCAATAACTCAAAACAAATTATATCTACAGACGACCGATATCAATAGGTCTTATAAAGTGTAACATAGAAACGACACCAATACCCCTGTAATATATATATATATATAAACATCTACAAAAATGCAGGGTTTCCATTACTCCCATCAATATGACTTTGAACAAAGGCATAACTAAAACGTTTTACAAAGAGGTCTGTCGTAGAAGGAGGTAGAGAATCAGTTCCGCGCTATCACAAGGAGACAAACACGAACATATCGCAGCCTCCCAAAATACACACACATACACTACACGCATGCATCTTGCACACAGGGGAGGCCGTCCTTAAATGACCTTAGCTGTTAATAGGACGTTAAACAAAATCAAACAAACAAACTGTCGTAGAAGGAGGTAGAGACTCTTTCAGTAGAGATGTACAAAAAGGTAAATAGATTATTATTGGTTTTAATGCCTGTCACGGTCGATAAAGAACAATTAGCAACGTCAACAATTATGCTGATAAATAACTTTAAATAGATGTTATATATCACAATAAGTAGACCATGTTGTAATTACGAATGTGTAGCACTTAGGAGAGCGGGTGAACAAAATGTCCATTTACCAACGAAAGTGGGTGATTAAATCTATTTCACGAATATATTTCTTTTACTTGTCGGAACATTTATCACATAGGATATCATTGAAAAAGATAATGTGTAATTTAAAAATTATATATAGGCCGTAATTTTGTATGTATGCACAACAAGATATATGGACCTCCCCTGATGTTTTATTAGGAGTTTTGACGAATTTGGCAGATGAGGCCTAGAAGGACGAAATAGCTGTATGGTGGAGTGTAATAATGTTTGCCTACTGTATCTATTACAGAAGTGTATAGGTACCATCACAGGTGGGCGTGTTATGTTCCTCATGTGTAGAACCAAAGTCGGGGAAAATTGTAATATTTGTTTACATTAAATACACTAATATTTACTGTACATACATTATTATGGAGAAGAAATCAAAACTAACTGAGTTTAAAAAAGTTGATGAAAAAGAAGCCTGCTGTTTGAGGCTTATACGGTGTATGTGGTGTGAATCTAGGGTTTCCAAACCCTGGAATTCCGAGAGAAGATGCTCTGAGGGAATTAAAAATTGTTTCTCAGCCCAGCATACAAACGTGTAGAACAAGTGTAAAACATTGTAGTATTCTTGATTTTCAGGAAAACACAATATTAGTATATACAGTACACGAAATATTATCTAACGGAACAGCTTGATTAATTCATTTTTGGCTAACTGAATTTATTTCTGAATGTTGAAGGTACAGTCACCCATGTGTGTGGGTCACGTTCATCTTTATACGAGTTTCGCTTTAAAACGAAGGTATGATATCTCCATAAGCATGCCTTTATATTGTGTGAAATATATCTAAAAGAAATCTTATAAAAAAAGGTAATTTGCATTGCATAAATCTGATACATTTAACAGGATTTTATTAAACCATTTATATATTCAATACACAATGAAACTTTGTTTAACGAACCTTAGGGAATATTAGGCCAAACAGATAATATGTGTGTTTCAGGTAACATGTATGAAAAAATACGGTACGTTGGTGGGCATATCATTTAATTTTTTTTTTTTTTTAATTTTTATGGATCAACATTTTGCTTTACAGCAAATTTTATAATGCATTTCCACACATAACAATGGCTATTAATTTGTCAAGAAAAGAGTCAAACTCCCAGAACAGGTAGAAAATGTATTTGAATAAATGGCTGTGAACTTTGCTTTGCTTATTCATTTTCAATACAAGTAGGTGATACAATCTCTAGGATCGGTAAGAAAATCTAGGGTAGGTCGGGACATCTGAAACACTTAATTGCTAAGTAATCAACTCTCTGCAGTAAAACATGTGTTTTATCAAATCACGATAGAGATTACTATAGTTTAGCCAAATCTCTTAATAAAATTTGATGTTAATCAGAGAAAAGGTTGCCATTGGATAAAGCACGACTACTGTACATGTTATGTACTGAAATAAGCATGTTATTTAGACACAATAGTCTTGTTTAACTTATTAAGGAAAAGGTTGCTAAGAATTCGACAATCGGTCGATTAACAGTTACTGAACAGATGTATTAGGATCAGTACCAGTTTTATAATACATGCATATTCTAAGAGTTTCTGAATCTCTCATGAGTTTTCATTAAAGTAAATTAACAAGGACAGTCCAAATAAAAGTATCGTATAAATAGTTAAAAATAAAGTTAGAAAAACCATTGAAATATCTGAAAGTACATGGCATTTATACTTGTAGTAAAATGACGGTTGAACTTTTTCCATTAAAATTAAGGCAGCAATAGACAGCATTCTGTCGATTAGAAATACATGCTTTTTCCACATAAAGCGCTATCGTGTCCTTATTATATGGTTTCCACGGAGACAGCCATTTATCAAATCACAGGTGATACGAAATGTTTATCTAAAACAATATTTTTTGATGGTGCCAGGGCGACAAATATTTAAAAATCTTATGAGACATATAGTGCACTTGGTACAGCAAATGGCAGTTTCTTTTTTAGTCGGTAAATGGAGACTTAAAGATTGGGATCATATAACGATGAAAATTGGGCAAGATTTCCCCCAGTTGTTTTTGATATCTTTACAATGAATGAACCGTTTAAGGCGTTTGGTATGTTTGTGCGATGTCGCCGGTGAGATATTTAGACGATATTGTGGTAACAGACTTAATTCCTAACACAAGTGAACCATGTAAAAGTCTAGTACAGAAATCCCCAGCGTTGTAGTACTGTAATCTGCACAGCCAAATCTGAATTAAAGGTATGTCTTAATCACTCGTCCAAACCACAATTACATCCGTACCCACGTCTTGTACCTAATGACACTTCGACAATCGTAAACAAGTGGTTTTTGGCCTAATCAAGGCGACCGCAGATAACCACGTCCGTAATTTTACAGTGAAATATGCTGAAAACCTATCATAGACATGTTAAGCTATCCCTTTGATGACATTCCGTCAGCAGTAAAACCGTCAGAATTAAATAGGTAACAAACCATGTGTGTCTGTCCGTTACAGCCGGAGTGTTTTAACACCTATCATGGTCAATGTTTTGATGAATAATGCCCTACTACAGTGTACACGTGCCTCGTCAGGTTGTTTTGACGTCTAACTCGACATCACAACGATATTTTACAACAATGCAATTTGTTACGTCTTTAATGTTGTCAGGTCTTATTTTGATCTTATTGCGAACTATGAACTTTGGAATCGTCCATGATACGAAACTTGACCAACGTGCATGTGTTGACTGTCTTGCGCCCTTGTATGGGAACAACATGTGGTGCAACAAGTGCTTTTCCATCCGTGCTACATATATTTTCAAGAAAAAACGTGTCGTATCGGAGCTTATTAAGTGTCCTCCCTTCTTTGGTCGGTAATTATATAATTGTAATTTCTTTTTACCTTTTCTCAATTTTGGTTATAAACATGGACAGTCAAACTTTCTATTTGGTTTACTTACACATATCACATATCTTCAATGAAACAAACATAAGGCACTTTTACATAAGGTTTAAAAAAAAATGTATCCCGAGGGGTTCTCTCTGGTATGATCCTGTTTTTGCCAGTTAATCTTGAATTGTAGGTTTCCTCAACGAAATTGACAATATGATGTAAAATAAGGTTTAAAAACAACAAAAGACATGTTTAAAAATACTCAACCACAACAAAAGGTAACTGAAATGATGTAAAGGGCTGAGCTTAATATTGCCAATATCGCCATTGAATAGTACCTAGAACTTACTTAACAGTGTCGTACACATACAAAAATGGACAAAATTCATAAAAATAATTTGAAAATTCTTAAGAAGTCATGTACACGATATGTGCATTTATATTTATGCTTATATATTACAATAATTGATGCAGTAAATTAGTTGGAATTGTAGATTAGTATAAATATGCATAATACCATCCAAGTCTCAACTAAAACAGATTAACCAGCCAGTGCTTTATCATTAAATCCTCTGATGAAAGAATGCATATATTGTGTGCAGAAAAGCCTATTTAATACATCCCTGTATACCGTGCAATTGGTTTTATATTACACGCAGGCGTTTAATTTCTCATGTAAGTTCCTATTAACATTGTATATAAATGTACCATATGTCTCTCCTGTTATTAATTTCTCTCACCGACTCTAATTACAGTAGAAACAGGTTTACTAGATAAAAATTACCAAAGTAACAAAAAGAGATTTGTTAAACCGTTAGAAAATGTTGTTGTTTTAAAAAAAAATGTAACTAACGTGACGGTTTAGAATTAATGTGGAGATGGGGCGTTATATAATGTCTACGTCTTTAATTTCTTCTGTCACTTAACGACATGACACGAATATGTCTCAACATGCCCTTTGCATGTAGATCCTTGTTAAAAGAAGAATGGACCTACTGTTTCACAGTTCATAATCCTCGTGGTGATTAATGAGAGTGTTTGTGTAGTTTGGGGTCTTCCCAGGGAAGGTGCATGCAACCCTTTATTTATTCCGTGTCCCCTAAGTAAAGAACACCAACTTTTTGACCCCTAGCAATACCACTGAGTCCTATAAGAACAAAAACAGATGTACAATGTAGTGTTATTTATATTTGACATACTTTATTAATTATTTTTTTCAAAACTTTTATATGTGCAGTTTAATGCTTGTCTTACATTCATAATACGTGAATCTGTAACACCAAAGCGACGGATGGAAAATGAAGCTCTCAATTACCTTATTGTATTGATGGAAAATCGATATTTACATAAATAGAAACATCCCGAAAAGATCTTTTGAAAATAAAGCTTTGTTGAAATCAACAAAATTAGGAATAGCAAGGGGTAATACGATACATATAAAAAATATTACAGTCAGCGATATCGATCAAACGAATTAGCTCTTACTTAAAATACTAGTTATCAACTGTTTATATAATACAGTCCTAATACACATAAAATACAATAAATCAGTCGTTTTAGAATTTAATTAATTACTGGTTATATAGCGTGCATTTAAATCTTACAGGATTCCATTACATACAACTTATCAAAAGAATTAACTACACCTGAGGTGTGATTTAAAGTACCAATCAAATATACCGTAAACATAACACAGTCCCAATATATATAATACAGTTCATCAATAATATTGCTAGAATTGACTAGAAGCACTAGTAATACATGTACCATAACTCTACATCTATCGCAAAAATAGGTCTGACTTTAAGTACTTTTTATATACATTACAGAAAATCTACTTCTAACACAATTCCCTTACACATAATATATAACTCATCAATTAACTGACCTAGGCTTGACCTGAAGTCCACAATAAATATCGTAAATATAACACTACACTCTTTTACATACAATTTTATAAATTAATTAAAAGGCCATAGGCTTAATTTGAAGACCAATTTATATAGTGTAGATAGATTTAATTCATCAATCAGAGGAACCACACCTGACTTAAAGCACTTGTTTTATACTGTAGTTCACTTTGACGCAACCGCTTACCAATTCTTGCATTAAGTCCCGAAGATCGCGATGAATAAGATGAACGTGTAAAACGTTATTTTATGTATCAATATCAGGATCCATTATAACAGGGAACACATACAAAATATCAGTAGGACAGAATAAAACGGGAACAATAGTAACATCGATATTTCTGCAAATAAATAAATAGATAACACGAAAGCTAATTGATGCACAGCATATACAGAACAAGACATTACTGATAATGAGTTACTAGAGAGTATTGTATTTGCGCTTGATCTAACAGGTATTTACACAAATATATGCAGTCATTAATTAATATATACAGGTAAATGCAAAAATTCGTTTGAGACATGAATATGTATACATGTGGCAACTACGTATGCTCAAATGGGGTTTTGATGTTAATATCGCATACGTTTGTATACAGCTATTGTAGTAACAATGTAAATTAAATCAAGCCATGCGAATGTGCATGTATCTATGCAACGGACAGAATTCTGAATTTTCTTAAAGAGCAGAGGTTGCTAAAGTAATATGCTTTCTTTTATTAGTGATGTGTTGCTGCTAAAAGTTATTTAAAGGTTGATTATTTCACATTTTGTTAAAAATAATCTAAAACTCAGTTTAAAACAAATGTAAAATATCACTTAACACAAAACATCTATTTACCTTCTTTGATGTTTCCAAAAAATACAAGTCATGCCGATCGTGAACATTTTGAAATTCCAGAAATGAACAATATGCATTATCCATAGAAATATTGGATATTGTGAAGAAAATCCCTTCCACGGTTACCACGTGTTAATGACAGTGATATCTAACAGTTTTACACATACATATATATATATATATATATTATAATATATAAGGTAAACGTGATTATAACATACTTACCTGTTGGTAATTGCTGAGATAAAACCCCTCCCAATACCATGACTATGAACGTCAATAATATTCCTGACATAGTCTTTTACAGTAATATGATCCCTTTTAGAAATTGTGCATTGAGTGCACACGTCTAGAGTAGCAATACTAACAAGAGTCTCTGCTAATTAAAGTGTATGGAAACAAATCGTGACAAGCGGTTTTATCCGCGGGTCTCATTAGGAAGAATATATGCAAATGATAAGCGAAATTATAACGATTAATTAAATCATCTGGTTTCTGTATAAGCGGTCGTCCAGACCATTTATCTGGTCAGCTCCTCATAGGGTAATGTAGAATTAACTGCATATTTAATACTAGTAAACGAGGTTGTATAATAAAAGAGAAAGTTATCAGCTAAGGTCAAGGTCAGTTCCATTCCAATACTTTTTGTAAATTATGACAGTTGTGTTGTTTGTGTGATATTTTAATGACCCCTCTGAGCTGACCTGACTTCCCATGGTGTTGCTGGTTGTCATGTAGAATACTGTTCACTACTGTTTTCGTATACCTATTACAAATGTAGGACATTGTTAAATCTTTACATGTCACAATTTGAAGTATTTTTTAAACTGACTTTGTTTTCTGAAACAATGCATCTTGTGTGTCGACTTGATCCTACAACGTTTATGCATTTGACGGTATATATCATTAAAGACGCTACATGAGATGCAAGGAACGCCTATCATTCAGGGACACCGAATAATTAACTCTTAGAGTTTAATCACAAGAAACCCAATGTGCTTATTTTAAACAAAATAAATACTGGAAATATAAAGTAACGAAACCTCTATCAGATATAGTTTGTCGATGAATGATACAAAAGTAAATATTAATCAGATTAATGTAAATATCGAATACACTAAAATCTCAATAATAATGGGCGGCTAATTTCAGGTTTTGTAAGGTACATGTATCATAGGCTTATTCTCGAAGCCAGCATATTCTCAATGCGGCCTTAGTTTCGACAGTTAGCTATCAGTGGTGTGATTTCCGGTTCTTCTTTCCCATGGACAATATGATGTAACACAGGTTTATAAACGGAATTAAAAATTAAAAGCTAAGTTTGTTTTGAATACAAACAGGAATTGAAAACATATCTTGCGAGCTTTCGAAAACGACTGTTTCCGCCCCCTTCGTGGATCTTGCAATGGGGTCCTAAATATGCCTCAGTTGGTGGCCCCTTCGCCTCTGTTAATCGAATCCCTTTCTCTCCTAACCCAGATGGATCCAAAGGGGCGGACTGGGTTCACATGTTACCCGTCCCATTGACTGGCTGCCGTATTGCAAATGGGCGAAATGTCTCCCTGATGTTTGACAGCTGACCTTACTGATTTGGTCCACTGTGTTTTAGTGAGTTGAGAGACGAGGCACCTGTCATTTGAACTCTTTGCTTGACCCAGGAAACAGACCGTTTTGAAAGCCCGCAAAAGTAGTTTTCAATTCCTATTTGTGTTCAAAACATACTTAGCCTTTATTTTCATACCAAACTAATAAATCTTATTCCGTAAATTAAAAAATGTTGCAATACTAAATCACGTGATGTGAAGTTAAAACATGTTTTTGGCAACAGGTGAAAAAATATATGTTAATTTTCAACTTCGGCCTATTTTCTAAGACGGTTTATTACTATGCACATTCTAGATGTATTAGGTTCCATTAAGCACGGTCCGCTAAAGAATCTCTAAAGTATATTCCCCGAATAAATGATGTTCTGGATTAACAAAATTAAATTGCATACTGTTTGGGAAGAAAAGTTATACCCCACAACTGATTCTACAGGAGCATTAATTCATCAGACTAAACACAGGTCATACAGCTCTTATTAATGACGAATAGATTATCGACGCAGAGTTAGAGAAATTACAATTTTCATACTTACCCAATGTGCAATTCGAGCGCCACTGCTGAACAACTGTTTGAGAACTTCACCTTGCAAAGTGTGACCTTTAGTAATTGTTTTCTAATGACTACCTCTCGTTTGTATTTCTAACGAATACCAAGAAGACAATCGAGGGAAGCAGTCATATATAATCTTGCTTAAACGTAAGCGATACCACCAACAATGAAACATAAAAGGTAGACACATAAGGAATGAATTTTACTACATATAACACACGAATCGTATCTTTACGCTTTGCGGGTTTTAATTGTTTTGTCACTTTCAGTTGTAAATAGGACATGTCTCAAACCTATTTTCGCACTCATTAATGAAGCTTGCAAATTTCAAAGGTAATGTAATATCATTTGTATAGCTGATGTGTCTCAATGATAAGTAGGGGTAAACAAAATGTGTTAAAGGCACTTCGTAATAGTCTCTACACGATCCTATGTTCCATTACTACAACATACAACATTTGATATAGCGCCCTATCTAGCTAACATAAGCCACTCTAAAGCGCTTTACAGTACATAGATATACAAGTTAATACAATTAGCATATACATTAATCAATACAATATTGAGGAATTCGCAGGAGCTGCCTTATCAGGCGCTAACTACTAGTCCCATTTCACCTGGCTAATATCCCCGAATGTGTGAATTTCATTTCATTTCAAATCAATTCTATTGCATTAAAAAAACACAATTGGATTAGGCACAGGCATCGCCTTTAAAAGCTCTTTCCAGAGAAAATACACACATTTCATACATTCATATATACATATATATATATAGAGAGAGAGAGTATTATAGAGAAAATGTAGTATATGTTCGAATTAATAGGAGAATACTAGAACCATTTTATACTAGAACCATTTAATTCATGTTCACAGAAAATAATACATGTAACTAGAATATCATAGATGTTACCATTTTAATTAATATAGTCTATTTACTTCAATTATTAATAGCCTAGTGTTTGGTTGGAGGCACTTCAAAGACACTGTCACTATACACAGTGCCATCCTTCCCAATTACACCAGAGTTATTGTTATATCATAGCAAATACAAACACATTGTAATATGATTTTTAGTATAGTTTAAGTTAAAATCTTCCAGATTTGTCAATAAACTCCAGAACACATGAGAGAATAAATTTATTTGATTCACTGCTAAGGTTCATATCACCC